AAAACAAAGAATTTCTCCCTCCATCTGTCATCTCGACCAAGATACCTTAAATGACAGTGCGACCTACACGGGGAGAAAGCAGGTAGGTTCTAGGAAAACAAGCGTTATGCTTGACCGTGCAAAGTTGTCTTAATTTCTCTACACCAAACCTGAGACCTTCTTCTTGGGCCCGAATCGATAAACCTAGAAAATAGCAAAGGAAGTTGGGGCACACATGAGTAAAAGCCATCCCCATCTCGGCAAGAGATTCAAGTAGAAATGGAGGAAGCGGGAACGACATACCGCAGTCCTTAAAGTGTGTTACATAAGCACCACAGTACCCGTCACAAACGTTCTCAGGATTTTCGCCGCCCTCCGCGACGCTGAATTCCACATCGTAGGGGATTCCTCACAGCTCGTGAATACTGTCAAGATGCCTTCCCTCGATAATAGTAGGGAGATGAGGAGGGAACCGAACATTTGCCATCAAGAGATCGAAAATTAAAAACCACGAAGCAACAGAACATAAAGAGATTCGAAGAAATCGTAAGAGAGTAGGTATTTTTAACGAAGAAGATGGCCTATTTAATGAGTATATAAAAACGGTTCCCAAAGCAGATGTCGTCGACGAACAATCTCAGTCGCACGATGGAAGAAAGTGGCCGACAAGGACGATACACGTGGCACCGCTTTCTCCGAGATGGGCGATGAAAAACAGTTAGATAAAGCTTTTCGTCTCTTCAGTTTCTCTAAACTGAAAGGCTGGGAGGAAAATGTTGGATCCGAAATTGGGCCCATTAATTATGAGCTCGTCAGAAAAGAAAACAAGTGAGTTCGGAGAAGTACAACGAGGAGCGCAGTTGAGTCTGATATCCATAACAAGGCCCAGGCCCAAGTTTTATCATCACAACATGACCAGCGGACTTGCGAGGTGGAAGATAGGATTCCGGAGATCGCGGAGACGGTTAGAGGACGAAGAGACTATAAAAAGAAAGCTAGAATGACATTCAAAGGACACGGAAAAAACCCTAGAGCTATTCACTGATCACATAGACCTCATTTCTTTAGATTTCTAGTTGGCTTTCTTACACTCTTTGTTGTTGTTTCCGATCTTGTTCATCACTTTGTAAATGAATTATATATTCAATAAAAGTCCATTTTTGTCAACCGAAGTCCGATTATATCGTTGAGTTTAAGAGCTCGTTGCCCACACATCCTTTGTCTTCTCCGGATTGAACTCACGATCTCTACAAAATACTGAGCGTGGATTTTAGGATCTACAATAGTCTAATACAATTGATAACGAAAGCTATCTAGTTTATGTGTTTAGGCGATAATATTATATATTTTTATTTACTTAAAAAAAATTGTTTTTAATATTAATAGTATTTTATTAGTTTGTTTCTTAAAAAAAAAATCTAAATCACTATTTAATTATTAAGAAACTAAAATTAAAAAAAAAAACTTAAATCCAAAAGGTAAAAACCATGCAAACAAGAGTCTGTTACCCTTTAGGACTCATTGTTGTCTTTTTGACACCCAAAGACACTTGCTGTTGGAGACACTTTACCCTTCTCTCTCTCCCTTATTTTGACGAAAATAACTTTGGTTGGATGAAGAGAAAGAAATTGACTTTGGTTGGATTGGGACAAAGTAAGTTTGGTTGGAGTTTACTTGAACGAGGGACAATTTGCTTGAGGTGAACAGGTTTCTTCACATCTTTGGGAACTGATATCAGAGGCAGGGATGTATCTCCACCACGCCATAGTCTCTTATCAAAATAACTTTATTCAGCAATAAGTTGTTCCATGTATGTAACACGCTCATCAGTGGCCTCGTCTGGCCACACTCCCCAACCAGGCTGTGTCTCATTGTTTGGCCAGACGATTGGTATCAGAAGCGTGACAGACAACTAAAAATTGTGACCAAAAATTAGTAATGAAGATGAATATTTGTTGCATAAACAGAAAGTTAATTAACTCTTATAAGAAAGAAAATTGGAAAGTAGATTTCTTTATAGAAACTCACATTAAGCTCAGCCTCCATTTTTTTTTTTTTTCGTTGAGATTGATGGAGGGGTGGTTTGGGAGATGGCCCTCGTTTAGGTCTATGAGTGTGAGCTGGTTAACTGGAGCAGGAATCTTCTCTTGAAGCCTTGGAATTGCAGTGAATGCAACCAGTTGTAGAGTGAGTGGGAACCCTTGCAATCTATAAGAATCCTGCTTGAGAAATTCTACCATTTTTTCTTCGGAGTTTGGAGAGATTGGAGGTCTCATACAACTTATGGTCTTTGGAAATGAGTCTCGACCCAGAGGAACTTGAAAAATGTTTCAAGGTCATCCATCCTTTGTATATATCTTAGCGGGGGGGGGGGGGGGGGGGGG